CATTTCTTTTGTTTTCGTAGATTTTGTTTTTACTGAGACTTTATGTTTTTCCTCTTTATTTTGATGAGTAGGTTTGTTAACTTTCTTTGTGGTTACCGTGAAATTTACCCTTATCTTTATAAGTTTGAAGCAGTCTATTATTACTTGGTATTGCCTTGCCTTCCTCTCCGTTAGAAGGTTCTATACTTACACTGTTTAGTCCCTCTTTTATTGTTCTGATATTGTTGTCATTTACTGATTAATTGCTCTGATTCCCTGTTGTATTTCTTTTGGTTTTGGATAGTCCTTAAGAGTTCATTTCCTAGATTAGTATCTGGCTGGTACAATCCTGCATCCTAGATTCAGTCTGTGAGCTGATGTTGTTTGTTCTCAGATGGAAGGACTCCCTTTAATAATTCTTGTAAGTCTGGTTTGGTTTTTACATAGTCCCTTAATTTCTGTTTATCTTGAAATGACCTAATTTCACCATCATATTTGAACGAGAGTTCTGCAGGATATATTATTCTTGGCTGGCAATTTTTTTCTTTCAAGGTTTTATATATGTCATTCCATTCCCTTCTTGCCTGTGTGGTTTCTGCCGAATAATCAGAGGTTAGTCTTACTGTTTCTCCTCTGTATGTGACTTTTTGTTCTTCTCTAGCTGCTCTCAGGGCTGTCTATCTTTTGTTTTGGTGAACGTGATTATGATATGTCTTGGTGATTTTCTTTTGGGGTGTATCCTATATGGGGTTTGCTGAGCTTCTTGGATGGCCAGCTCTTCATCTTTCATGATATTGGGGAAGTTTTCTATCAGCAGTTCTTCAATGATTCTGTGTTTTCCATGTTCTCCCCCTTCTGGAATTCTGATCACTCGCAAATTTTTGCTTTTGATTGTATCCCACATAATTCTCAGGGTCTCTTCATTTTCCTTTATTCTTTTTTCTGATTTTTCCTCAGAGTTGTATCCGAGCGTTTGTGTTCAATTTTGCCAATCCTGTCTTCCACCGTTTCAAACCTGCTCCTCGGCTCTTCTGTGACATTGTCCATTTCTGAAATCTTCTTGTTTATCTTTCGGATTTCTAATTCTTGTTTTTATATGGTTTCTAGTTCTGAATTTATATTAGCATTTTGTTCCTGCATTATTCTCCTGAATTCTTCCATTTTTTTGTATGTATTTTCCATAAATTTGTCTGTCTTTTCCATGAATTTGTCTATTTTTTTCCTCATTTTTGTCTGCTTTTTGCTTCAACTCTTGGATAGCTCCAGAATATTAGAAATTTGAACTCCGTATCAGGTAGTTCTAGTGCCTTTTCTTCTACTGGAAAGTCATCTGGTGTTTTATTTTGGATGCCTACTGGAACCATCCTGTCCCGGTTTTGTAAATGTTTTG